CAGGATGGTCTCGATCTCCTGACCTCGTGATCCACCCGTCTCGGCCTCCCAAAGTGCTGGGATTACAGGCTTGAGCCACCGCGCCCGGCCTATTCCCCTTTCTTTAATGTGTACTTTTCACTGCAATAAATCTCCACATTTTCACTATTTTCTGACGCATCCTTGAATTTCTTCTTGCAGTGGTGTCAAGAACCTGGACACTGGCCAGGGTTGAGGTCTCACCAGTATTTGGGGACCTCCCCTAGCCCACCAGTTTTACCTGGAGCTCTGAGTCTCAGTCCTCCCAAGGTGACCGGGCATCTTCCCTGGACACCAGGAGGAAATGGGAAAGAGAGCCCCCATCTCCTGCCACTCCACCTCCTCAGGGTTCAAAAGACCCACACATCAAGACAGTGCATGTTCCTTTACCAAAAACCTAGGACATCTTCAAAGGGGAATCACTATGAGGAGAAGCAAACACGTTAAATTTCACCTCTCCCAGGTTGCACAAGGGCAGCAGCTGGGGGCCTTGACTTTCATGACCTTGTGCTTGAGATGTTTCCCTGACAGCGGGAGTGCAGTGGCATGATCTCAGGTCACTGCAACTTCTGCTTCCTGGTGTAGGATATAATAAATTCCTCTTCAAAGGTTTTAGCCTGTAAATTGTTAAGTACAATAAGTTCTGAGATCCTCTCCAAAGAATCAATGTATCAGTTATGTTCAGCTCTCCATTTTAAAATTTTCATCTCCTTGTCCCTAGTTCCAGTAAACAACCTCTTCCTAGCCTCTATCACCTGCTCTGTCCTGAGTCACCCCTGGTCACCTACTCTGATCTAAGTCAACTTGAGTCACCCATTCCCACCAAACTACTCACCCTGCCACTCCGACTTGTACCCCTGCTCTCTTTAAAATAGCCAATTGGAATTAGCTTAGACTATGCAGTCCAACCCTAGCCAACAGGGGAATTACATAGCAGTAGGGGCTACCTGCATCAGGAATAAGAACCCCTTTCCCTCCCTTGTGCAGGTGTGCTCTTGCCATTGCTCCATCCACAAGTCACATCCTTCTATAGAAGTAAAATTGCCTTGCTGAGAAAATTAAATTTATGTTCAAGTGCTATTTCTTTGGCAGCACCAAAAATTTATTTATAACACTGGGTTCAAACTATTCTCCTGCCTCAGCCTCCCGAGTAGCTGGGATTACAGGCACCCGACACCACGCCTGGCTAACTTTTGCATTTTCAGTAGAGATGGGGTTTCACCATGTTGGCCAGGCTGGTCTCAAACTCCTGACCGTAGATGATTTACCCACCTTGGCCTCTCAAAGTGCTGGAATTACAGGCCTGACCCACCGTGCCCGGCCAAATTTTTATATTTTTAGTAGAGACGAGGTTTCACCATGTTGGCCAGGCCGGCCTCAAACTCCTGGCCTCAAGTGATCCGCCCACCTTGCCCTCTCAAAGTGCTGGTGTTAAAGGCGTGAGCCACCACACCTGGTCTTTTCCTCAATTCTAATAGGTATTTGGATCTATTTCCCTTCACTCCATCCTAGAGGTCAAAAACCCAGATAGCTTTATATGCAGCAAACC